GAATCAATAATTTGAGAAAAACCATTGATTCTAAATCCACCTGGAAAATATGATCTTATAGCATTTTTTTTATTCTCACAGAATATAACTTGATAACTTGGTTATATGAAGATAAAATCTCATTAAACATACATTAAATACTAAATTCTTCGGATGTATTAAAAACAACAGAACCTAATTCCAAATTGCCAGAAGCTGGCCATGCATGAGGACTTCAATACAAGAATTAGATATTACTGTGTTTTCTGAGGAAACATATATATGAAGAATTAACTGGACTGCTTGCAAAGGGCTCTATTTTTCTAGGCCCCAGAGAGTGTTGGTAGTTAAACACAGTGCTTCAACGTACAACCTGCATGCCCAAGAGACTTATTTCTTAACCTATCACGCGGAAAGGCGTCAGACGCATAATGTAGCAGAAAGTCACAAACCAAGACAGGACTTTCTGCAAGCCTCACTTTCATCACTCGTTAGGAATTTAAACCAGACCCCATTGGGTCGAGCGCCAACCAAACAAGTTAGCAAAACAAGCCGTCAGGCCACCCCAAAATTGCGTTGATCTATCCTGTGATCAGGTTACAGCATATCTCTTCACTTAACTCTCATTCATGTGGCCTAAGACATACAAATTGAGATAAAGTCACTTGCATTGGATTTAATAAAAAAACAGTCACCCAACTGGCCACATCCAACATCGCTCAACGAAGTCCCAAAATGCACAGAAATTGTCATGGGCATTCACGAATTCACCTGTACCGTACTATGCTCTACTCATTACAACTAGCCTGACTAACTGACCTGGAAATTTAATTATTGCCCGTAAAAGTCAGTTACTAAGGTTACTTCATAAGAGTTAGTCAGGTTTTCCGAATATTTCATTCTCACCTCTCAAAGTTTGGCATATTTTATTTATGAATGGATAATCATGATTAAAACATCGCTGTAGAGACGCACCTCTTCCTGTCAGCTTTCCTAGAGGCTTTTTCCAGCAGACTCCAACATTCCTCAACAAGAGCCCATGAAGGATGATCAAGCAACGTGAAAACCAACTCGACTATCTCTATGAAATTACCTATTTAAAAAATGTAAAAACAATCCTTTAAAATATCTAAAAAATAAAAGTAGGAATTGCTTTAAAAATTGAGCCAAGACACAAGCAAGATTTATCAGAGGTTCTCGCGGAATATGACCTTACGGGAAAGTTTTCCAGTGTTTGGTGCTATCTATTTG